ACGTCTTGATGCTTGAAATGTTATAGGCTTTCAATAACCCGGAAAAGGTTAGTGTTGCAAGGAATTGGTCATAAATTATAGCTTAAATCTTTTATGTGCTCTAAATAATAGGATTCATGATGATAATTTTTTGGATCCATGGTTTCGTCTTAATCACTGTGTTTTTGAGAATGAAGTTAGTTGTCAGAACTTCAACCTTTATAATTTTGGTAGAATATGGATTAAATGGAATCCATCAAAAGTCCACTTTAGACCGACTCTTACTACCCCTCAGATGATTACTGGTGAAGTTTTTGGGGGGGCTGACTTTTCCTTCCTTATGTTAGTTATTCATGCATTTAACTTGCAATCTGAACGAATCATGCTTTGGGATAAACTGAAGGAGATTAGCTCAAATTATAATGTTCCTTGGATCCCCTCTGAGAAATTAGGGGGATCCCCCCTCCTTTCTCCTCAACTATGGGACTTGAATACCTTTATTTTTGATGCGGAGTTGTTGGATTTTGCTTCGATTGGTCATAAATTCACTTGGTTTAATCAAAGAGCTTGTAATCCCATACCTCTAAACTTAGATGGAATGTTGGTCAATGACAGATGGCTTGATAGATTTCCAAACTCCTTTTATGAAGTTGAAAATCTGTCATGTTCAGATCACTCTCCCCTAATTCTCCTCTCTAGGAAACATTGTAAACCATAGCATAGATTCCTCTTCAAGAATGTCTAGATTAAGTAGGATAACTATTGGACCGAACTCATCAAGATTTTTGCTCAACCAATCCAGGGAAACCCAATTTATGCACTATACAGAAAGCTTCTCACATTCAAAGCTATTATCAAAGAAAAATAGTGGGCCAATTCTTCCCATCTCTCTACCTGCTTAGCTAATTTTTAAATGAACAACAATCATGTTGTCTCAACTTGCTCAACCTGGATCCTTAAAATCTCTCCCAGAATCAATCCCTCAAAAGCATTAATGCTCAAGTTTTGGATTGCTCATCTTCTTGAGCTAATTGGGTGCTTCAAAGAGGTAAATTGAAGTGGCTTGCCAATGGGAAAGATGATCTAAAGTTTTTATATTCTAGAATAAAGCAAAAAGAAGAAACAACAGCTGCTCCCGCTTGATCTCTACTAATCACCCACTTGTTAGGAAAGATGATGTATTGTCTATCATTCAACACTTATAAGCTATTTATAATGCCCCATGCCTCTCCCCCAACTCAATATGATATCTCCTCTTTATATGTTGGCTCTGTCATTTCGCCCCATCTTTCAACTGCTTTAACTGTGAAGGTCTCTGATGAAGAAATTAAGGCAGCTATTTTCAGTGGGGATTCAAACTCCATGTCAGGTCCGGACAGGTATAACTGTGAATTTTACAAATCTAGTTGGATGATTATTTGATCACTTGTCTATAAAGTTGTGAAAACCTTCTTTTCTAAATGTTATCTTCTTAGAAAGCCAAAGCAATTGCTATAGCTTTCATTTCCAATTCCTCTCATGCCTCTAATGTTTTAGATTTTAGACATATTTCCCTTTGTAATGTCTTTTACAAGAAAATCTCTAAAATTATGGCCATGAGACTTAAGGGTATTATGCCTCTTATTATCGAGAAAAATCAAGCTGGATTCATTAAAGGTCGTATCTCAACGAATAACATTCTTCTTCCTTCTGAACTGTTATTGGAATTTAGGAGATCTATAAATAAAAAATTGATTTGTACCAAACTAGACATAAGGAAAGCTTTTGATTTGGTTTCAAGAGACTTTCTTTTTGCTATAATGAGCAAAAAAGGATTTCCCTCGCTCTTCATTGCATAAGTCAAAGCTTGCATATATGATGTGTATTTCTCTATTTGCATTGAAGGGGCTTTGGAGGGGTTCTTTAACTCATCATCCAGTCTTCATCAGGGTTGTCCATTAATCCCATACCTTTTTTGCATTGCTATGGATGCCTTCTCTTGCTTGATTGACAACCCCTCATCTCAGGATAAATTTGTTGGTATTTCAACTAATGGATTGCATCTCTCACATCTTTTTATTCTAACAATCTCCTCATCTTTGGAGAAGCATCTCAACACAACTATGAGCTCCTTATGAATATTTTAAACACTTTTTCTAACTTTTCTGGCTTGAAGGTTAATCATGATACAAGCAAGATCATTATCTCCAACTGTACCTCCTCTCCAATGGAAAATTGTGAAGCTCTTAATATTCAATCATTATTTGAAGATGACTTACATGGACAGTCTGTCTCTATTAAGAAACACTGTTTGGTTGATTTTCAACCACTCATTTGTTCAATCTCTAATCACTTGGCCGGATGGAAGGCTAGGCAGTTTCTTTGGCGGGGCGTCTTCAATTTATTAAATACACATAGCTTATTATATTAGAGGTTCCATCATACCTAAATCCTGTCTCAAGAAATTAGGCATAATGTGTGCCAGGTTTTTCTATTTTGGTAATATTGAAGCAAAAAAAGTTACATCTTATAGCATGGAACAATACCTGTAAATTGAAGATCTTTGATGGTTTGGACATTCCTCAAGCTCTCCAATATGCTAACTATTGCTCCCTTATTATCAAATTCTACAATTCGCATTCGCTTATATTCTCCTAGGTGAATGCTAAATTTAGTGCTCCTTGGTTTCCTATTAGAATCAAAGCTTCTTTGCTTTGGAAAGAAATGATGAAGGTGGCTGCGATTATTTCTCCCAATCTTCTTTTCTCCATCATGCCTAACAACAAGCTGGCAATGATATGGGACCCGTGGGTTAATGGTTATTCTCTCTACACCGCCTCTCACAACAATTCCTCCTGCTCTCTTTTTCCTCGTCAAGCCAAGGTTTCAGACTATATAGTAGATGGTTCCTGGAGACTGCCTGATGCTATGGGAGTGTATTTATATCAGTTTTTGAACTCTATCCCTATTGCTATTGATTTTTCCACTACTATCACTTGGAAAGATAATAAGAAATTATGTTTCTTCACTTATGTTTATGATTTCCTTAAAGATGATATGCCTCTTGTTTGGCCTAAGTTTGTTTGGCACAAATATTTGCACTGAAATACTCTATTTATGATTGGCTTGCTTTGAATAGAGGACTTAAAACTACAAATGAGCTATCTAAAAGAAATATTATGATTGAGCCAACTTGTCCTCTTTGCTCTGCCTATGCAGAATCCACCACACTTCTTCTATTTGAATGAGATTATGCATTTACAATGTTGAAGAGATTCATCCCTGGTTTGGGTGACTTCTTCCTAAGACCGAGGCTTACTCAAGTGTTTGAGTTTTTGGATGAGAGGATTTACCCGGTGAAAAACCAAAAGAACTGTTTCCTATTTACTGTTTGTTGTGCTTTGTATTTTCTATGGAAGGAAAGAAATGAAAGACGGTTTAATTCAAACTATAGGACTACTTTGACACATTGCACTCTTATCAAATCTACAGTGGAAAAGAAAGCTTCAAAATGGAAATATGGGGAGGATTTATGTGTCCACTATCTCCCTTAAGAGGTTACTACTTGGGACATTTTCTGTTTTTCAATTTTATGGATGAGTTTAATCCAAACTGTTAGCTGGAGGGTGTTTTTTTCCTTCTTTGGGTCCAGCTGTGATTCTCGGGAGATTGTTTATGAGGGATTTAGTATTGTTCATTTGGACTGGAATCGTTGCCTTACTCGGGTTGCCTATGGGTTTTCGGAAACTATGCTGATTGGAAGGTTTTTTATGTCCTAGATGATGATGACCCCTTCATTTTTTGATTGTCATCCCTTAAGAGGGTCTCTGGGCAACCAGGTATGCATGTGATGTGATAACTACTCTTTATATGCTTTATCTAAGTCCAGGCATTTTCGACTGCTTTCGATTCGGATTTCATGTGTTTGACTTCTTTTTCTTTTGGATATTTAGGTCATTTAAGGCAAATTTACACACACAACGCACACACAAAGACTTGAACCCAAGACATCTTAGTTTGAAGCATAAGCTCTCAACCAACAGGCCAAGGTGAGCTGTGTATGTATATGCCTTTTTGAAGCTTTTTTCCTTTGATGTGACCTTTTTTATTTAGCTTTTGGTTTTTGCAACTACTCATCCGTCCTTGCTTGTATAGCAGCACTCTTTATAGCCCTTTTTTATTTTAATACAAAGGGCTTTTCCCACAATTAAAAAAAAAGTTCATTATACATACCCACTCGACGGGGCTTTTTTTTTTAGTGATTAAATTTCATAATAACAAATTTTAAAATTATTATATTTATTTTGTAATGCATACAATTCTCACCCAGATTTTCTCCCGAAATCATTATTTAATAATGCAGCTTTTTATGCAATATAACTTCATCACCCTCAAGAGTTCTTTTCCACTAGGCCAAAATATTATATAAATGTTTATTGAACATAACGTGTTCTTTAAGTCGGCATTAAATTTATAATATACAAATTATTTTTTTAAAATATAAAACCTTTAAGAAAAAATATTAATCTAAATGTAAGGATTTACAGCCCCAATTTCTTTTATTTATGTATTAAAATATCAATTCAGAACTTAACTTAGGTTTCATTTGACATAACTTTTTATAAACAACTTTTTAATACAAATACTTTTTAAATTAAAAAATTTTATATTAAGAAACTACTTTAAAAAAAAAAAATCATCCTAAATAAAACCTTATTATAATATAAACTTGTTATCCAAATCTAACAATTTGACCTACAGTCAATTAGACATAAGAATTTTTACTCCAAAAAAACATACTTCATTTATGAATAGGGATTTTAATTGAGATAAGAAAATCATAAAAATATTATTTTTGATTTAATCACCTTGACAGTCAAATGTGAGTGAGGTTGAATTAAGCAGCTCTCTTATATTCCTAGTGCTATAATAGGATTTTGATTCTCCTAAAAAATTTTAAAAAGTAAGTAACAATATCTTACTTACTTTTCTTATATCTTGATTGATCTTAAAATCATTGAACTTATTTAATCATCGCACAATAAATTCAAACTCGTTTTTTGCCTGTTTCTTCAAGCCAAAGAAATTAACTTCAGAGTTATAACTTACCTAACAAATATTTTTATTCAGTTAAAATAAAAAATAAAAAATAAGGAATCAAACTGAGTGCTTAAAAGAAAGAGGAATTGTGAACAAATATCAACTTACATGAAGGTTCTGGATTTGAACTTTCAAATCCTGCAACTTTTGCACTGTGGTTGCCAACTCTTGCTGAGTTTCCAGCAACCAATCTATCCTTTGCTGAGCAGAATCCTGATAAGGTTTGCTGATGAACTCAGCATAGTCATTTAGCTTCTCAGTGGCCTCCAAAAGGTCTTTCTGCATGGCTTCTTCCACTTTGCGAGCCAATCCATCAGCTACTTTTCTCACCTTCTGTATTGCTTCCTTTCGACGAGAAGGAAATTTTGATATTGCCAAAAATCTACATCAAAGTGTATTTGTTAGTTCTCAAGAAATTGCTCAAACATAACAACGAACATTTTCAATGGAAAAAAAAAACATTTTTAATTGTAATATCATGAGTTTAACTCGTTCAGATAGATCAACTTCTCACTTCAAGTCATTCAACAAGCCATTGAAAACAACATTACTTGCAATGGGGTGATATAAAATTCAATCAGGGAGTGAAAGAATAGATAACAAAAAGAAGATTAACCAAAAACATAGGCTTCGTTTGGAGCAACTTTCTAATTACTTTAATTAAAGAACCCACAAAAATATTAAAAAATTTATAAAATGCCTTTAATGAAATAACCCACAAAATCTACGTAGCATATATTTTTCATAGGACAAAAATAAAAACCACAACTTAACAAAGACAATTATACACATAAATAGAAAGCTCCAAAGCAGCAGACAGAAAAACTAGCAACTTTCTGGTAGAAACCAAGAGATGGTGAAAAGCTCAGCAGAGGATCAAGTGCAATCAACAATGCATAAATGCTATATTCAAGAAACCTTTATTTAGACTGCAGATATATTCCCTTCAAACAAACCAAAAAAATAAATAATAATTAGCATAACAATTATTGATTTAAATAATCTGAAGTTGAGAATATACCGAAGTATACAAAAAACGAATCACCATGTTTATAGTCTCTGAATCAGTTAAACAACTTTGAAAAATAAATTCCTATTTTCAAGCAAACTACTCAACAATATGGCAAGAGAACATAAGTACGTGAACGAATTTTTTAAACAATAGACACTCCCAAATCAAAGGAAAAGTTAAAAAAAAAATAAAAAATTCAGATTTCTTTCAAGAAAGAAAGAGGGTCGAAACTGATGCATACCCGCCAGCAGAACAAAGAGAGAGTGCAAGAAGATCTTCCAATGCCGTTGGTAGTACAGATGTTAAAAGCGATGCAGATAGACCTGCTGCCCCTAGCCCTCCAACAGTTCCAAAAACCTATTAAGATAGATAATTATAATACTTCAAAGAAAATGCAGAACTATTCTATCATGTCACAGTCAAAGATATCAGACTGCATTTCACGTCATAATACTATAAACTATATTAGCTAGAAAACATTTATTTGACTGATTTAATTGCATGTTGTAATGTAATTCAATGATTGTACTGATTTGCAGAAAACTATTACCTTCTCCAATTTCTACAAAATCAATAGAGTCAGAAGGTTTTAATGGAATAAATTTCACCTATTTTGAAAATTTTCGACATTAAACATTTGCTAAGATTCACTCAACGCACTGGAGGCATCCATTCATTCAAAATAATTTCAAATCACGAATATAGCCTCTTTGCAATAAACATTTGCTAAGATTCACTCAACGAACTGAAGGCATTCATTCAATCAATATAATTTCGAATCACAAATATAGCCTCTTTGCAATATATATGGTTAAGCCTACTTACACGAAACTCCTCCATAGACACCATGAATGTATTATGGAAATTTGAGAATAAAATTTTGAAGGAAATATATAGAAACGGTAAAGAGAACAAAAAAGAAAGGGTAAACTCACAACTTCACGAATTTCTTGTTCAAAAAGTTTTGTAGCGGCACTGGCACTGAAGTTGTCCATAACCTTTTTGCTGAGCTCCTCCCCATGTTCTAGAAATCCCACTGTTTTTGATTGCGTGACATCTCCAATATCGAGCTCATTATTGCACTGTTTCTGAAGACGATCCAAGCAAAGCTCCCCCTCACAAACAATCTTAGAATGCAACCATTCTGAATACTCCACAAGCAATCTCTGCTTGAAGAATAAATAAATAAGGATATAGTAATGTCAACACTAACTCATATATAACGTGAATCAACCCATATAATATTTTCTAGAAGAAAGATGATTCATAACATCAAAGTTGATGTTGACCCTCTCCCGTGTAAAACAAAAGGAAACAAAAAAATCAAATCCCGGCGCCATACCTCGCACGTCGCTAGCACGTCGACGTCCCTTCTCCCACGACGCATTCACGTCGTTAAAAAGCTAAAGAAAACGAGGCCGAAGGCCTCGTTCAACTCCTCCGCTCTGATCTCTCTGATTCCCGATCTCTCTCTCGCTCTGCTCCCTTGTTTGACTTCGACCTTCGACGACTTTCCCTTCCTTCAAATCGGAAGCCACAACAGGTTGATCGGAAGGAACAAAGGAGCTCATTTGTTTGCTTCTCCGGTTCCCTCGTGTCGTTCGACCTCGCCATTCGACGACTTCCCTTCCAGTAGAATCGGAAGTTACGCATTTTTGATCGGAAGCAACAGGCGGGAGCTCGCCGGCTGCAGAGGCAACTTTCTCCCTTTCTACGGCTCCTCCGACCCCATCGCCGTTGTCCGACTTTGCTCATTCTCCGACATTCCCTTCCCGTCAATTCGGGAGTTACGACATTTTGATCGGAGGCCACAACAGGGAGCTCGCTCGCTGTGAAGCTAACTTTCTCCCTATCACATACGTCCTCGGCACCTTCGTGGCTGGTCAACTTTGCCTCCTCGGACGACCTCACCACCCATTGGATCGGAAGTTAGGACATTTTGATCGGAGCCAACAACGGGAACTCACGGTTGTGAAGTTAACTTTCTCCCATTCACATCACTCCTTCGGCTCCGTCCGTGGCTAGTCGACGTCGCTCCTTCAAACGACATTCCCTTACCTGTAGGATCGGAAGTTAGACATTTTGATCGCAAGCAACAACTGGGAGCTCACTGGTTGTGTAGGTAACCTTCACCCTTTCGCACGCTTTTCGGCCAAATCCTGTAAATCCCCCAAACAGAGAAGGAGAGGGGGATTAATAGCTTAGATTAATTAAAGTTAATCTTAATTAATTTTAATTAATTTAATTATAATCATTTTAATTTATTATAATGATTATAATTAATTACAGTTAATTTTAATTAAATAATTATCATTAATTATAATTTATTTTAATTAAAGTTAATTTTAATTCGTTATAATTAATACTTATTTTAAATTACAATTAACTATTATTAATTAATTAA